AAAAGCTTCTGGCCTGGGAGAAGGTAGAGTGGAAAAGCGGGCAACAGGATCTGTTTAAAATGCTGCAACTGCAAAAAAAGCCCATCATTCATACAACTGTGCCTCATACCCTGAGGTGAAACATGCTACAGTCTTCAAAAGCCTTTAGCAGACATTTCTGTAGTCCTTGCATACTCACAAATTTAATATGCCTGTAAAGTAAAACCATGTAAATGATGTGCCAGCAGGGCCAAAATATTCTACCCCAGAACATCTGTAAGGCCAAGTCATTTCACTGCTATCCAAGGCTGGCATATGAAATTCTTAGAGGAGTCTGCAATGCTAGTCGCTCTTGCCACTGCTAACCATTTCTGCCTTTGGTTTTTGTTGCTTTAGAAAAATATAACAATGCTGTCAACGGCCGACTAGCTTTATAAAGCTCAACATTCCTTAAGAACTTACATCAAACTCACTAAGAAAACCCAAGGGGCTGGAGCAACATGCCTGCAGAAAAGTTCTGAGCATCTGCTCTACTTCTGAGGCTATCCATTGACTTTGGCCAGTCTCACGCCACTCTCATGCTCTTGTTAACAGTCAGTAATTAACCAATTCTATATACACAGATGATCCCAGAAAGAGAGTGTTAAGCTTGCACATATGCTTACCCCTGATAGGAAGCCCTTGATACACTTTAAGAAGGGTAAAACACTGCTAATTAACTCAGTGGTGCAACCAAACTCCCAACCTTCTTTACCAGAGCTTTGACACAAAGGAAATGAAACAAGGTGGGCATGGATCCAACTGCAATTTTTCACGGTTAAGACCACGCATGTGCATAGTAACTTTGTCCAAATGTGATAAAAGAACATTTTAATTCTTCATCCATCCAGTAAATCTTATGGGAATGATGACATTCCCCATCCTAGCATGGCTTAGAAAAGAGTTTTCCCCACGCCTCAACAATTGCCTAAACCCACTCAGTGGGTCTCTCGCCATAAGTTAATACTATTTTCAGAGATAAAAAAAGTCCAGCTGACTTCTTCAAGCTTTCTTTCAAATACTTATCTTTCTCAAGATAAGCAGCAGTGTATCTTGCCAAGTCAGATACATGTCTTATAGAAATACCTGGGAGTGACTGTACCACTGGTCCAGGAAGTTAGTGCAGTGTGTCACTGGCAAGATCAGTACAACCAGCCAAGTGTAAATAAATATTCACTGCATAAATTCAAGGCAAAACTAAATAATCCGGAAAACAAAGAGGAAAACGTCTTTACTGTCTGGATTAACTGAAAAATCAGGGGGGGCAGAAAGAGGGGGAATATCACTCAGGGACAAATTAATTCCCTCTTGTTCATAACATTCCTTGAATATGACATTACTGTGGTAAGGACGAAAGAAAATCTTCACTCGACTCATAATTAAAAAACAATTTACACAACTATCACTCCATTAATTATTTGCACTTTTTCATGAAATTGCATCAAAGATGACCACAACTGCGAAGGCCATACAACCTTAAATTTCAGAGAGGGGAAATGAAATGTCATCACTCTTGCTCTTTGTTCACTTTAAGATACAGAGAACTTTTATAAGTTTCCAAGAATTACTTAGATTCCACAGTTACTTTTCACTGTGACATTGTGCTATTGCTGTTTCCAAGGATCCATAAGTTTTGACAATCCACAATGGAAAAGCTGCAGGATGCAAAAGGCATGCATTAAGCGTTGATTCTTAGCACCCTTGAAAATCAAGTTGACTATTCTTTACATCTCTAAATGACAGGTTAGGCCTGTGGTTTCAAGATCTAACATTTTACAGTGCTAGCCGTAACAGTTTCAAGAACTCTTATCCAAAATGAAGTATCTTCAAGAAAAACTTGATCAGTTTGAAATTCAATAGGCTGTAGGTGAGCGATCACTTAAGAAATGCAGTGAGAAGCTTGTCAGACTACTGAAAGCTACAGTCTTTATACTTTCCATGTGTATTTACCACATATATATGGTTCAATGGTTCAATGTTTCACAAATGAGTTTTGGCTGAAAGGAGAAGATTCCATGTACTACTGAGCTGGAAAGTCCTGTTAACATGTTGCATGTGCACAGTTAGAAAGTCACATTACTGTTATTTTCCTCATAGCATTTTGTTACAGGAAATAACTTCAAATCAGAGAAAAGTCACTTGAAACTTGCCATTCTAATGAACAGGTCTGATAAAATGCAAGTTATTTATTACAGTTATTTCCTGCCATTGATTAAGAGATTTTCATCATCTAGAAAACATTTCCCTGGCTCATGTGTGTGCCTGAAATCTTCCTGACCTTCCTTTAAATGCCCACTGCTATCTTTCAACTTCCCTTTCTGGAAATGACTGAAGAAACTAGTAAGTTTTATTCACTGAAGAACAAACAAAGTCCATTCTATCAACAGACATTCCTGAAGGAGGACCGCATAATTCAGTCCTTCCATTACAAGCTGAGCTGGCTGTTCAGGGAAATCCACTTCTTCTCTCAGTAACTAGAAAAGGCAGCAAAATTAGATATTGCACAACGATGGATATTTTTTCTTTGCCAGAGACTATCATTAGGTAAGCGATTAGTGACCTTTCAGAGCAACTAGGCACTTCTTTTAAGAGTAATGCTTGCCTTTATATAATCTCAGATAACGTGACTCCAAGTTAGTCATCTCCTTGTGTCATTAAGCAGTTACGTGTTCCTTTCACATGACCTGACAATTAGGTATCTTCTAAATTTTTCTTCTTTTCCTGAAATATGCACTTTTCTGAATATGAGTCAGGACACAAACTACATCTAATATATCTTCAGGAGGAACCAGATATATATTTTAGGGAAATTTTATGGTAATTGTAAGAAACAGAGCTCAGGAAAAAAAAACCAACCCAAAACTAAAATCTAAAAGTTGTTCCAGTATATAATAAGCCCTGTAACTCAGCACAAGGCATGTTTGTAAGATTTTTCACTTTTGTAAGAGAGGCTCACGAGGGGAAACCGCTATTACTCCACGGTGCCTGGGAGTCCCAGGCATCCTCCAGCCTTTGGTGCTGCTGAGAAGAAGAGGGAAGAACGATTTTAGCCCTCAGAATCATAAGCCGATTTCTGCACAGATCAATTGTTTGCAACAGCTTGACACCTTCTTTCGTAATGAGACCAAACACGTTTATTGAGCACCTTCCAGGCGTTATCGACCCGAAGGTGGTGGTAGGACTTGCCCACACAAGGAGCGTGCCAGCAGCCCGGGCTGCAGAGCAAACTGCTTTGTGCTCAGCCCAGCCCAACGAGGCAGCAATCATGGCTCAAAGAAAGGACCAGGAAAACTAATTTCTAAAAGTCAAACTATCTGTTTGTATCTTCCTGCCAACGTTACCAACAAGGAGGCTGAAGTCAAACTATCTGTTTCCTTCCTGCCAACGTTACCAACAAGGAGGCTGATTCTAGCCGTTCCATCTCCTGGTTACTGGTGGAAGCCATTGATTTACTTTTGGCATGTTACTAAACAGCTATGGGTCAGCTACCTCCAAGGTGAGATTTTTCTAAAAGAGCTGGGTTTCCCTCACTTCTGCTGAGCTTGTTGGGAAAACTTAGACTTGTGTGCCACTAGCACGGGCTGAAGCAGAACTGCTCACTTCAAAAGGTTCAGCAACCTCTTAACATTTCAATAGTGTCTTCACGTTTCTCCTGAACAAAATTTAATTTTTTGATTAAGATTTCACTTGATGCATTGCTCGTTTTGCCATTTAACCTCCTTCCCTTACAGTTTTGTTACTCTGGTGTCCTTTTAAGTTGTTCTTAACTACTGTGACACCCCCCCACACCTCCCCCAAATCCGTCAAAACCCCCACACTGTCAGAGGAAGGTACAATGTAATCATCACCATTTGGTTCTTGAAGGAATATAGTCCATTCCTATGATGAAGAGTGAATGGAAGCACTGCTTGAGGGGTGGTTCATCACCAGCTCAAGCACACCTAACAGGGTGTCTTCTGCCTGGTGTACCCAAGACTTGGTCTACAGACCAAGAAGCCTACCCACTGCCAACAAAGGCAGCAGTCAGCACCCCAGGCAGAACTGGGAAAAGGGAACTGTTTGTTGTTTGCCTTGGTCTCCTGGTGCATTGCCAAAGAGGGGACAATGGGACATCCCCCCCAGCAGCCAAGGAAATCCACTCCTTTAACGTGCAGGAGAGTCTTCTGATTACGCAGAGAGAGACACCCACCCACCC